AGAGAGAGAGAGAGAGAGAGAGAGAGAGAGAGAGAGAGAGAGAGAGAGAGAGAGAGAGAGAGACAGACACCCCAGACTAACTAACTGCCCCCCCCCCAAAAATCGACGACGACGATGACGATCAAGTGTAGTATCTGTTACGATCCGTTTGAAAATCAGCACGCGCACAAGAGGGAGGGGGAGAGAGAGAGAGAGAGAGAGACTTCAAACTAACTAACTACCCCACCCCCCAGAACGACGACGAAGATGATGATCAAGTGTAGTATCTGTTCCGATCAGTTTGATATCTGACCTGTAAACCATTGGGAGATCTTTAAAGGAAAAAAAAAAACCACGCAGCAGAGCAACAGAGAGAGAGAGAGAGAGAGACCCCAAACTAGCTATCCCGCCCCCCAAAACGACGACGATGATGACGATCAAGTGTCTTCCACTCTCCGCGCCTCTGCTGCACGACGGGGACGGTGATGACGAAGTGTAGTATCTGTTCCGATCAGTTCGAAAAACGGCAAACGCACCAGAGAGAGAGAGAGAGAGAGAGAGACACCCCAAACTAACTAACTATCCCACCCCCCAAAACAACGACGACGATGATCAAGTGTATTATCTGTTGCGATCCATTTGAAAATCGGCGCGCGCACAAGATGGAGGGGGGGGGAGAGAGAGAGAGAGAGAGAGAGAGAGAGAGAGAGAGAGAGAGACCCCAAACTAACTAACTACCCCGCCCCCCAAAACGACGACGACGATGATGATCAAGTGTAGTATCTGTTCCGATCAGTTTGATATCTGACCTGTAAACCATTGGGAGATCTTTAAAGGGAAAAAGAAACACACGGAAAAACAGCGCGCGTGCGCGTGTAGCAGAGCAACACAGAGAGAGAGAGAGAGAGAGAGAGAGAGAGAGAGAGAGAGAGAGAGACCCCAAACTAACTATCCCGCCCCCCAAAATGACGACAACGATGACGATCAAGTGTCTTCCACTCTCCGCTCCTCTGCTGCACGAAGGAGACGATCAAGTGTAGTATCTGTTCCAGTCAGTTCGAAAAACGGCGCACGCACGTGCGCGCGCACCAGAGAGAGAGAGAGAGAGAGAGAGAGAGAGAGAGAGAGAGAGACCCCAAACTAACTAACTATCCCACCCCCCAAAACGATGACGACGATGACGATCAAGTGTAGTATCTGTTCCGATCGGTTTGATATCTGACCCGTGGACCATC